ATTAATAAAAATTTTGCATTATATTTAATATTTACCATTTACTTCCTTTGTGATACCATAAAAACGTAAAATATTTGGATGAATGTCAACTCTCTTATGTAATGTTATCTATAAAGCATTAAATACACATTAATTTTCTTAATTATCTGATAAATATTTTAAATAATTACGATACCTCATTTATAACTTCTCTAATTGTAATTTTATCATTTTTAAAAAATTTCAAAGCGAAAAAGCGATCATTACTTTTCCAATTTGCACGCATTACGTTTCCAAAGGAACCATTTCCTAAAGGTTTTATATTCTTGAAGTCCAAATATTCATAATAATTGAAATATCCTTCATCAATTTTTTCTTCAAACCAGTCAATCGATTCTTTATTGTCCGACATTTTTTTTTTTTTTTTTTTTTTTTTTTTTTTTTTGTGGTCTAGGAGTAAGAGTTACAAAATTTTGTTTTCACAATTTGTAAATGAAACGTGCATATTTATTTACTGATCAACATAAAAAAAAAAAATTTAGGACGAATTATTGTACTTAGAAAATCAACAAATTAAAACTTTGTTGACTATATTATTTCAAATTTAAAGGTTAAGTTGATAAACATGTTATCAATAAGTAAACTTAAAAGAAAAAGTGAAACAAAATATAAATAAAAAAATATATATGACATTTTAGAATAGTTAAAGTAAAAATTATAATTATTATCTTTAGCATAAAACTAAACGGTCGGCCAACCGGTCAGTTAAAAACGGTCGTCAAACGGTTTATCGGGTAAGGCCTTTGACCCTTTTACCATCCCTGCCCATTTTCTTACATGCACAATCGGAATTGAAGCTACACTTTAACCCAGTTTTGCATTTTGACAAAGTCAAGCTTTTGAATGACATCTTCGCTATTTGGTCGTTATTGTGACCTTTGCAATAGAAAAGAGAAACGGCTAGAAAAATACAAGATGAGTTAATGCTAAATCTGAATATATTTTGACCAAAATAATATTTGACATATAAAAGTCGATTTTTTCGGCAGTTTCTCCCTTTCTATTGCAAAGGTCCCATACGTTAAACCAATTCTGTTGTGCCACTAAATTTGGATGATTCCTGTTACTTTTTTCCAAAACAATTCTAAGACCGCAGGATCAGATCCCTTCGATATTTACGGCTTAGCACAAGTATATCTATTATAAATTTATAAAACAAGAAATTTAGAAGTAGACTAAGGAAGCGAAGGAACAAAGAAATTGAAGATAGAGTGGGAGTGAGAGGAATTATTCTCATGGCAAAATGTTTTAGTTTTTCCCTCCATAGCGGTAGGTCCATTTTTGAAAGAAAAAAAAAGTTTTTGAAACCCTACCTTGTCCGTTCAAGGCTTTGTATTATATAAGGAAGACAAGGTTTTGTATTCTAAAGGGATTAGGAATTTGACTTTTTTTAAGTATTTCGTTCAGCATTTGAACAAGCAATGCATTCTGCAAGTTATTTATTTCTTCTTGTGTTGGAAAGAGTGAAATTTATGTAAAGTTCATATTCGTTACAATAGATAAAAAATGTAAAAAAAGATTAGAAATTGAACAAAGATTGAATATATCGAATATATAAAATATGAAAATATGTCCAATGATTACGTAATAACCAATTACTGTATTATTAGAAATATATTGATAACACCACTAGGGTGCTACTCCAAAGGTAATTAATATACAGTATAATCGTAATTCCATTTGCATAAAATATTTTAGTTCTTATGGTGGCATCTTTTAATTTCATGAATTTTTGAGTTTTTTTTTTTTTTGTGTTTACCTTTCCGGACAAGAAGAGTCTAATAAATTTGGACTTCGAAGATAATTTTTTAATAGATTAATTTATAAAACGAAAAACGATTGAAACAAATAGACGAATGCATATCATTTTTAATATTAGAAGCGAATTTTTTAGATCGATAACAATTAATTTTGAGAAAATTAATTAAGCCTTGTTCCAATTCAAGTATATTTTTTGTGTTATACGTCCCCGTTCATCATATTAACGTATTAAATACATCGATGTAATTAAATTTATTAAGTTTCGCTTTTTGGTTTATCTTTGGTATAGGCAATCCATATTTTGTTACACTACAGTATGAGGAAAAAAAAAAGCTGCAAGAAAGGCGCCTATAACTTGACGTTTAATGATAATTCTAAAGGAATTGTCTTCAAAGAAAAACTTGCTTTTAGAAAATTATAATGAAATTCGGCAAGTCGATCAATGTAATACAAAGTCGATTACCATTCATATTCTTTTTTTATTTTTTAATTTTTTATTTTTTTTTCCTTTCTTTTAATTAAAAATAAAAAAAGAAAGAATGTCAGTTTTAAAAGACTAAATAATGAGTAAACAAAATGTGCGATCTTTCTATTTGGAATTAAAGAATTCTTTCAAGTGATGTTGCATCTATCACTTTGATCATTGTTTCGCTTTGTTTGGAAATGATTTAGAACATTTCCGAGAAACACGAAGACTTTTAAAATGCAAACAATGAATTCATCGTATGAAGAGTCAAAACTTAAAAAAAAAAAAAAATCTTTTCGAATTTTTTTTTTTAATATAAAAAAGCTGCTTTTAATATTATTTATTTTTTTATTTTTTTTGTTGACATCTCATTTAACGTTCAATCTTTTCTTAAATTTCAATGATAGACATGAATAAATTTATTTTAATACTCATTTTCATTTTCACCTCATTTGACGCTAAAGTTGTGGCATTTACCCCAAAAGCTCGTCATTCACATTCGTCTATTGTGGTAGACGGAAAGGTTTATTACTTTGGCGGAATCACACCTACTACAGTGGGATCACAAATCTTGAGTAATGAAATGTTTTATTTCGACATTACAAAGGAGTTTGACACATCATCCATTTTATGGATGGATCAAACCGGCACTAGTCCAATGTCAGTTCAAAGCGAAGGCGCAACAACGGTTGTCGATGGTAAAGATAATAATACCATTTTTTTGGTCGGAGGTACAATGTTTCATCCCAAAACAAATACTTTAGAAATGAATGCATTGGTTTACACTTTTAATATTAAAAATCAAATATGGAGTAAAGTGGAAGTTTTAGGAGAAACGCCACCGGGAAGGAAACAAGCTAAAGGAGTTATTGATTCCAGTGGGAAGATTTACTTATTCCGTGGTATCAATGCCAATTATGTGTCAGGTGGTGTCATTGGATATCTTGGCGGAATGGAAATTTTTGATACTAGAAGTTTATCATGGTCCACTGTGCCCTCTGATAACACTGAATGGAGAGGTCAATATTCTGCTACCATTCTAGAAAATGGAAACATCATTTATATAGGGGGACAGACCATGACAATGGCGGATGTGGATATAAGCAAAGTATGTTAGTTTTATATGGGGTCACCATATTCTCGGTCTTCTTAAATTGATCTTAAATTTATATTTTCAGGCATATATTTATAATACCAATACGGCCATTTGGTCGCAAGAGGTAAGACCAATTTATCAAAGAAAACTTTTTTTATTTTTTTATTAGTGACAGATTTAAAACGTTGATTCTATTTATATAGGGAATAAAAGGAAATTCTACTATAACGATAGATAATAGATATGGACATTCCGCAGTTCTATGTAATTAAAATTTTTTTTTTTTTTTTTTGCCGCTTTCAAATTTTTATAGCTTCATAATAAAAAAAAAATTTTTTTTTATTATATGAAAAGATAAAGGAAAGATAGTTATATACGGTGGAGCAAAGGGTTTAAATCAAATAACTCCCAATCCGAGTCTAATTTTCCTGAAAGTGGATGGTGGGCAATATGTTTGGGAAACTCCTCAAACTTTAGCGATTGATAATCCACCACTACCGGTTTCGCACCATTCTGCCGACATAGTTGGAGATTATATGATTGTTGCATTTGGTAACTAATATTTTACTTGAATTGTATCAAAATAAATAAAATTATCATATTAAAAATTTTTTTTTTTTTTTTTTTTTTTTTTTTTCAAGGAAATGTTACAAATAATTTAACATTACCAACTAGCGCAAACGATAAAGTATTTTTATTTAATCTAGAAACTTATAGTTGGGTATCTCATTTTAATCCACCACCTCCACCAACTGATACTGATGCTAATCAACCCAAGAATCCTTCAAAGGGCGGCGGGGATAAACAAAATGTTTCTGATGAAAGTAATGGATGTTTAACACCATCAAAAACTTTTGTAATGGGAATAATCATTAACGTAATTATTATCCTTTTGCTTAATCACCTCATCTTGTTCTAATGTAAGTTTTTGGAAAAAAAATTTTTATTAATTCAATTTTTTGTTTCTTTATAAAAACAATTAATCTTTACAGGTGATTATCCTCAACTTTTATTTATTTAATTGATTTATAAATTTTTACCAAAATTACAATTATTTAAAATATTTCTTTATGTAATATTGTTATTGTAAAACGGAATAAAATATTGATCAAACGATCATTGGTAATTTCGAAATTATAATTTTTGGCCTAAATTAACAAAATGAGGTCCAATAAAAATATTTTTGATTTTACTATCGTTTTAGTAAACTTTATCTTTTTATAATAAACAAAGGTAAATTTTGATTATAGTTTCAAAATTCGACATACTGCATTAAGCGAATGGTATATTGGTCCATTTTTTGTCTAATTACATCTTGATTACAATCGTAATCACATTGGAGGGAAGTTCGATGATTGGTCGATTCAATCGGTTTGAATTAAATTTAATTATTAAATAATTAATTTTATATTTATATTGTTCATTTGTATCAAATTTTTCTTTATTAATTGACAGTATTAAAAAAAAATAAATGAAAAATGAAAAATTAATGTCTCCTTTTTAAATCAACATAATGGATCATTTTCTCATGACCTATTTATATTTTCACGGAATGGATTATTAGCTCTTGAAAAACAGTTTGTAGTGAAAAGTCGTTTTAACTTGCTTTAGTCATAAATTGTAATTAGTAAACGAGACAAAATTGATTATGAAAAATTTTTTAAAGGTAAATTTTCAATAAATTGAACATTTATTACGGATATAATCTCTCAACATGTAATGAACCAATAAATGTTTCGTTTCGCTTATCATAAAGGTGAATTGTCTTGCAGATCATATTTTGAAATATTAATTATCGTCACGTCACGTTGATATTAAGTCACGTTTTTGCAGTCACGCTTTTTAATATATTGATTTACTAAAATATTTCAAATCTACGTAGATTAATGATAAGATAAATTTGGGTGGTGCCATTACATTAAAAAAAAATTTTTTTAGAACTTCCCATCAAAATTGGTAAATTTTATTTAAAAATTTTGTTAATACAACCATTAACTTTTCAACGGATTATTGACTGCTTTGATATAATCTTTTCTTTAATGTTTTCCAACGAACCAAACAAGCGTTAGGATTTCTATCTTTTAAACAATGAGAAATTTTTGACCAAGAGGGACTTGGCATATCTTCTAAAATTTTATCAACCAAGATTTTGTCTTCTTCCGATCGCCATACATTTTTGACTTTAGGAGCTGTAGAACTTTTGGTATGCGCAGCTGACTTCTTAGATTTGTTAGATGATTTCTTAACTGATGTTTGTTTATTTGCTGATGTTTTGTTTTGAGATGATGATAATTTTCGAGATGGCATCAATTCATCTACATCTTCACTTTCATCATCATCTGTTTCATCAAGTTCGTATATGTTTAAATTTGTTGACTTGTTTTCCTCTTCTTTAATCTCTTTAGAGTTCAGTCCTTCAAGATCTTCTAATTCCATCATTTGGTTAGTGGCGGTGATCTTTTTACGTTTAGCGGGAACCATGTAATTAGCAGTCCTTTTCTTTGAAATTTCCTTTAATGAAGGAGGTCTTGTTGATGGTGGTGGTTGTTGTTGTTGTTGTTGAGCTAAGCCGCAGGGTTCTTGTTGATCAGGCGTTGAAGGTGGTGGCTGTGTTGGGACTTCATCCATCTAGAAAAACAAAAAAGGACCAATGTTTTTTAGAAAAGATCTTCGCGAAAATAAATAAGTAAATCGTTTGTCATACATGATTGAGAGTAACAACATCGTTTTTAGATCTTTTCTTGATAGAATCACCGGTTATATTCGTTTCCATCTTGTATCTCGCTCGTCTCACAAATAAAGAGAAAACTTTGTTTTAAAAATGAAAAAGATGGGAAAACCCGTGAGAAAAAACAAAAGAAACTGACGAGTTATTCACAAAAAAAAAATTAACATTTATTCTATTTATAATGACAAACATAATACATTAATTGATGGTGACATCACCATCACATAATACAAATTCTATTTTATTTTTTTTTAAGAGCGAACTGAAGATACATTAAAATTATTATATTGATTATATTGATTATATAAAATGAATACCAATAATAATGAATTTATGAGTAAATTATCTACAACAATTCAAAATATTAAAAATATATGTATATATATATAATAAAAGAGATTCTAAAAATCGAAGATTCGACCTGCGCCACACATGAAATACTTTCTACACTAAATATTTGTAAAATATTAATTATGAATTATGATTGCAATGATTACAATGTTGAAAATATCAATTGTGACATTATGACTCAATTCAAGATCCAGTTTGTACTTTTCTCCTCAAAACTCGAAGGAAAGATCATTTCCCAATAAGTTTCAGGAACGGCCATGGTAATTCTATGACAAAATTCAATCCCAGTTTCAAATCCACCATAAATTGTCATAACGACAGCACCAAGGGCGGCCGATACGACCACGAACATAAATACGATATCACCGACTAGCACCAATACAGGTAATAATATTGATCCAATAAGTAATGTCATGAATGCTGTAAACGAATAATTAGTTGGTTTAAATAATCCATTGGAATAAATTTGTTTGTA